GCGAGCCGCCACCCTGCCTTTTTATCCCTTCTTCCTGGGGTTCGGCGGGAGTTCTGATTGGCGGAGGCGGCGATTGCGAAGATAACCAATGGGGAGACAGATTAAGTAGCGACCAATGGAAGTTGCTGTATGGTTTGACATCAGAAACCCGGATTGTCCAATAGACAGAAACGGCCTTGAGTCATCTCATTTGCATACCGTCCCTATAAATACGGGGGTCGCCGCTATTGTACTTACGTCGTTCCTGCGGTAGACAGGTAGAGACGGGCTTGTAAGATGCCGGAACCAGCCAAATCCGCTCCTGCTCCGAAGAAGGGCTCCAAGAAGGCCGTCACCAAGACGCAGAAGAAGGGTGACAAGAAACGTAGAAAGACTAGGAAGGAGAGCTACTCCATCTACGTGTACAAGGTGCTGAAGCAGGTGCACCCCGACACGGGCATCTCGTCCAAGGCCATGGGCATCATGAACTCCTTCGTGAACGACATCTTCGAGCGCATCGCCGGCGAGGCCTCGCGCCTGGCGCACTACAACAAGCGCTCCACCATCACCTCGCGGGAGATCCAGACGGCCGTGCGGCTCCTGCTGCCCGGCGAGCTGGCCAAGCACGCCGTCTCCGAGGGCACCAAGGCCGTCACCAAGTACACCAGCTCCAAGTAAATCTCGGTTCGAAAGATCGTCTAATCCAAAGGCTCTTTTAAGAGCCACCCACGCATTCAGTAAAAGAGTCGTTCACACTGGTTCGGTTCGGTGAGTGGTACTTGTGTTTAGCGCTGTCTTACTTCCCAGGCTAGGACAGCATTTAATTTTAGGGAAAACGTTTTTCATGTTAAAGGTACCGGGAATGGTTTGCGTGGTCTCGTATATGCCCTACTGTTAACTCGCGCAGGTCTATAAAAACACCTAATCAAGTTTTAAAGCTATTAAAGCTTTCCTTCCTCATTTTAGAGTAATTGGCTCCAGTGTTTCTGTAAGTGCCGAGATTATGGGTGGTAGGATTTAGGGGGTTTCGTTTGTTTTTTGTTTCCCCCCTCCCATTCCGATATAAAATAAAGCATTTATTGTTTTACAATACCGGCCTTACTCCAATGCAGATTATCCCTTTTCTACCAAAACGTCGTCTTTCCCTTTAAATATTAGCTGTCAGTCTCGAACTCCGCGTGTCCCTCTCTCGCCCCCCGCCCCACAGCAAGCTCACACAGGGACGATGCACTCAAACGCGGCCTCCCCCCGCGCTGCCCGGTTTTTAATCCTATACTCATTCTCTGGACATTATTTTCTTAGTGCACTCAATGTTACCTTACAGTCTTAATAGGGACTAGAAGGGATAGATCTTTTTCATCCTTTGATTAAAATTACGGTCTCTAACATGCTGTTTTTCATTGTGCTTTCCATTTTTTTTAATTCTTACATAATTTTTTTTCTACTGTTCGTTTTTCTATTGTCTATGTGTCTGTAATATGTCTATGTATTTAAATAAAAATTCCTATACATTCCAGAGAAATTTCACCTTTTTTAACTGCCCAGAAATTCCATACAAAAAAAAACCTTGAAAATTTCACAATGCAAGAGAAAAAAAATTAAATTAGAAAATGTCTAAAAAAATAAAAATTAGTAAGACAGAAAGGGATTAGAAAAATTAAAAAAAAATATACAATGATAAAAGGATCCCTGTTTTATGCAGCAGACAGCGAGAACAAAGACCGAAAGGGGTAGGAGGTATTTGCCAGTGGCGGGCTTTTTAAACTTTGAATCCACCAATGAGGCTCAGCACGTCCCCATCCACCTATCACAGAGAGGACCAGCGCTATAAATACCTCTCGAGCACAGGCACAGCGTCAGTGTTTCTCGTCTTCACTACTCTGTGTTCTCTCCTTGAGAGCCATGGCGCGCACGAAGCAGACGGCGCGTAAGTCGACGGGCGGGAAGGCGCCCCGCAAGCAGCTGGCCACCAAGGCGGCCCGCAAGAGCGCGCCGGCGACGGGCGGCGTGAAGAAGCCGCACCGGTACCGGCCCGGCACGGTGGCGCTGCGCGAGATCCGGCGCTACCAGAAGTCGACGGAGCTGCTGATCCGCAAGCTGCCCTTCCAGCGGCTGGTGCGCGAGATCGCGCAGGACTTCAAGACGGACCTGCGCTTCCAGAGCTCGGCCGTGATGGCGCTGCAGGAGGCGAGCGAGGCCTACCTGGTGGGGCTCTTCGAGGACACCAACCTCTGCGCCATCCACGCCAAGCGCGTCACCATCATGCCCAAGGACATCCAGCTGGCCCGGCGCATCCGCGGCGAGCGCGCTTAAGCTTCTAGCGAACGGATCTTCAGGCTACCGAAAACCCAAAGGCTCTTTTAAGAGCCACCACATGGCCAATAAAGAGAGCTGTATACTCTTAGTCCTGCGTAGGAAGCAATGTTTCGCTCTTGCTTTTCGGGTACCGTTACAGTGACTGACATTTCACTGGTCACTTCATTACATCATCTCTTAATTACATTTCATCGACTAAGTAGTGAGCAAAATGTGTAAGTCACTTTTAAAAGTGGTTGAAAAGCATCTTGATCGTAGCAGGCCAGTTTGGCGTGGTTAAGTCCTGCCGAGGTAATCGTGCCAGGACAAATCTCTGTTTAGGGTGAAAATTCCTTTCTAGACTTTTTAGAGGAATTGCTCCTCATTTTTTACAGAAGAAGCAGTAATCAGGGGCGTTCTTTTTCTGAAGGAGAAGCTGTCCAGCTCTAAAAGATTTCTATGCGTTTTTTCTGTTTGGCTGTGTGTCTTAAAAACATCCATACAAACCCCTTGAATTCGTAAAGGCGACGCTCTCCATCCGAGGAAGCGGATTCAGGTAAGTGCTGCCCTTAATTTGCCCTCCCCTGGTAAAACATCACTGTTTATTGTCCCGGCAGAAATTTTGTTTTCTTTTCCAAACCTTTTTTTTTATTTTTTTTTTTGGGGGGGGGGGGGGGAGGGGGGGCGTTTTGGTTTCTGAAGGCACAAGAAGTCCTTTCCCGCCCTTCCCGGAGAGGCGCCCGGCCGTTCGTGTTCCCAGCGCTTTATCACTCGATCTGAGGGTCCCGGCCGTGAGCGGCGTCCCCCGGGCACCTTCAGCCCTTTTCGAGCACTTCGCGTTCATTCCCGAGTTCATTCCTGTTGTATTTCCAGGACAATCCCCGCGACTGCCGTTTTCAGGAGAGTGAGCTTCCTGCCGGCGCCTTCTCTGGGTCGCACCCGTGGCAACCTTGATGGTTCTGGGTATCCTGTCCGAATGATGAGGGAGGCCCATTCGGATAAATTTTCTCCATCTGTATTTAGGCTCCCGGAAATGTTTGCTAACCTGAACACTGAGAAAGTGTTTTCCAAGGAGTATTAGTGCTTAAAAACTTGACATCGCGTCTAGAATTATTGTTAAACGGAGACTTTTTCCCTATCGCTCGAGCCCAGTGATTTTTAGGAACCTGCCTGGAAAATGGGATTTCTCCCTGACTGTAAGGTCGTTCAGCGGAACGAGCCCTTTCCCTCCTATTCAATAGATCTGTAACCGATGCCGAAAAAATGTAGATTTCCAAAATTATCTCTGACTTTCTGTCGCTTTTAATTTTTTTTTAATATACTGCATGCCGTTTCATGTAACTTAGGGAGCTTCGTGTTCCAGCGATTTATTGGAAAAGGGTGTCTTTTTGTTTTTTCGGTGCTTCAAATGAGTAGCTGTGCCTTTAAGAAGAGGGTAGACCGAGTTGAATACAGCCCTCATTTAAATTTAAAAACGAGGAGCCAGGGAGAATTACTTAGAGGAAATATTTCTTTTGGAAAGCCTAAACCCGCAGGACAATTGCTTTGCTGTTAACGGCTGATAGCTTCATCTTGGGAAATCTTCCTCTTACTGTGTCAGGAACTTGGACTCTGCACCAAAATCTGACCAATCAAGTGCCTCGATGCACCATTTTCTTTCCTTGTTTTTCTCACTTTCAGCCATTTTCTGTTACTTAACCCCGGAGGGGTAAAAGGGGGGAGGGGAGGAAGGTATCGAGAATAGTACTTTGGGAATTAAGATATTTTGTGTGACTTATTCCCCCCGCCCCCCTTATTTGCTCACTGACATAGGATTTGGTTTTTTAGAACAGTTTTTTTTTTCTTTTTTGTAGTAGATAATTACCGGTGTGATTGCAGAAATGAGTCTCAGTGAAAGCAAATTCATTTCCTGTTACTGTCTGTGATATCAAGAGATCTCTATTTATCTAAACCTGTTTACATATGTTTAAGATAGAATTATTAATAATTAGATCAAGTAAAATAGCTGTCTTTAATATTTCATATAGTGGCTATCTAATATCTTACATAAACCAAGGGTCAGAATGCTTACTTTTCAGCAGAAGTTTTGGGTCAAAAGTGATGGTTTTTTGCATGTTCAAGAAATAAATGATTTTTGAGGAGCGAGAAAGAGAAACAGGTTTTAGTGGTCTTAATCTCTAAAGTTTTTATCCTAGCCTTTTGAAGACCTTGGACTATTTTAATAGATATAGTACTACTTGGATTCATTCTGAGAGTTGCATGCTTGAATCACTGAAGAGCACTAACACTCCATCAGTTGAGAAGGAAACAGATGTGTAAGGGTTTTTTGTTGTTTTTTTTTTTTTTTGCAGGATGGGTGAGCTCATGTGAACCCTACATTATAATGCCTGAGTCTGAAGTAGTTTTGGGATATCATACATTATGAAAGGACACTAATAGTAACCTATTATAGCTTGTCCTAGTGGACTAGGCTAGCAATTAGGAAGAATTTACTGTGTGGATTTTGAAGTCTGTAACAACTGCAGATGGTTGTGGTAGTGATATGGGGAACAGTGATAGACTGATTGTAGCTTGTACAGTTGACTTTCTTCTTCCCTTCTTACACAAATGATAAATCCTATCTGGAACTCTATCAGTCTGTGTATAGTGATGAACCACTTCATTGTAAAAGAGCAACAAAAATACCCCAAATCAGGTGCAGGTTGGGGGCAAAAAGATGTGAGTAAGAGCTGATATTAAGAATATTTAATTAAGTTGGGGTTTTTGAGCAAAGATAAATTACTTAAGGAATTGATAGACATCTAGCACTTGCTATAAAATTCAGAGAAAACATAAATATCAGTTAAGTCTGATACAGAGTAGATCCTGGAAGGTATTTGCTAAAACAAAACATCCCAAGCACACCACAAATAAGAAATAAAATGATTTTGCCATAGACAGTTTATTTGATCTAACATTTCTTTAGTTTAAGATATGCACAGGTGACTTAGTGCAAAACTTCTTAATTTAGTGAGAGTAAAAGTACAGAGGCTCCTCTGGTACCAGCAAGGTCCAGCAGTGTTTCTGTGTTTTTTTGCAGGAGAGCCTGCGCTAACAAATGCTGCCAGGCAGGAGCTGGCAGGGCTCAGGACCAGTGTGCTTTACTAGCTGAGGGCTGGCCTGCAAACTGCTGGTGCTTTGCCCTGTGTGGCTTTTGGTAATCATCTGAGGTGCTTTTGGAGAGGACTTTAGATGCCCAGTGAGGTATTTGGCTAAGAGATTGTTCCTGGCTCTTTAGCCGTCCTCCATGAGTGACCTGGCACTCTCTGTGTACGATCTGGCTCAAATCACTGCTTGGAAGAATGTACTTCCCATTGGTCCAATAGGAAATACAGAACGTAACCACGGAGGTCCTGGTGAACTGTTTCCTTTCATCAGAAATATATAAAAGAAGGTCTGATGAAAGCATCTTTTGGGAACAAAAATATTTGGATCAGCCCTGCCTGACACTTCATAGTTTCTGAAAAACTCTGTACAGTTATATCCATATGAAAAGGAGATGAGGTTTTCATCTGAATTAACTATTGTAATCTAAAAACTTTGTAAAGCTGACATGGTGTTTTCTGTGCAAGCCAGTATGTAAAGATAAATTCTAAGCATCCTGTCACATTCTTTTCTTTTCACTTGGAAATCCCTCTTCAGGGCTGCTCACAAGTGAATCACCTGTTGATTGCAGTCTTCAATAACCACAAATGCTGAAGCTCAGCAAGCTTCCTCTCTGCCCAGCCTGGGTAGTACTGCCTTGCTACATCTTTTTTCTCTCCCACTTTAAAGTCCTGTTGTGCCTTCAGCTGGGTATAAGCATCTTTCAGATTGTAGGTGTACAAGCACTGTCACAACAGTATGAACATTCGATAAGTTTTCATATTGTATATAGGTGAGCTTTAGGAAGTAGTGTTTGTCAGCTACTGTTGTTAAGGATTTACGTATGCTGGCCACCCTAGGATGCTGCTGATTAGTGCAAGCTCCAGGTGAAGGTTTCCAATTCCTCTTCTATTAGTTCTCAGGTTACAGCTTGAGCTGGGGGCCTCTGGAGAGGGACCCCTAGCCCAGATCGCACCCCTCAGTTATATCTGTACCACCCAGCACTTGATCCCTGAGTCCAATCACTTAATTCTGGTTGGTGGTCTCTTGATTTCTTATTGGCTCTCACTGTTGCTGGGCTGGCTGCCTTCTGAAGTTACCTCATTCTCTTGGAATTGTTCTCTTGGTCCTTATCTTCTTCATTCCATCCATATCTGTGGGATTCAGTCAGTTCTGTGTTAGCAGCATTAGTTTGATCAAAAAGTTTACTCTTGGTCAGCTCTTGCAGCCTAAGGCTTCAATTATTTTAGCTTCTAGTGCTAAGCTATGAATGCTAAACAAGACTATTAGGAGAAGAATACAGTTAATCAAATTTCTTCTATAACACTATGAAATAATAGTCAAATGGAAGCTCTATTCTCAGCAAAGCTGTTACTGAAGTAAAAATGGCTAGTAATAGAAAGGCAACTTACTCAAGGAACATAATATATAAACCAGTGCAAAACAAATTTGATTAAAACCAGCTGATAAGTGAAAAATGTAAGCTCAATTTGATCCTTGGCTTTGAGCAACAAACTCTTCTAACTATAAAACAGTGTGGTTAGTGTTCTGTATATTGTAAAAGATGCATTGCTCTAGTTCTAAAATTGGGTCTGACAAGCATTTCCATGCCTTTTAAAAAGTTAGGGAAATATCACACAGTATAGACCACAAAGAACTGTAGCAGGTACTGCTTGCCAGCACATCAAGTTCTTTGTAATGTGAAGGTTTAGAAGAAGAAACATTTCTAGCCTCTTTAATCTCCTTTATCCTGGGACAGTTATTGCTTATGGGACAGCACTGTGGCAAAGTCCCTAAGCATCCATGTTGCAGTCTGTGTGAAAACTCTCACCTCCCACTGCCAGAGTGCTCTAATGCCCTCAGTGACAGTACAGAGCTGCAGTGTGAGCAGCGCTGCAAAGGACAACTCCCCGACTTCTGGTGAACACCTCACTATTCACAGAATCGCAAGGGTTGGAAGGGACCTTGGGAGATCATCTGTAACTATTCTGTAACTGCTAAAC